TCCAACAGCCCCCAACTCTGTTTCTCCTAACTACATTTCCTTGGTCCCAGAACTGTACCCCAAAACCACTTGTTTTGTACCAGGGATTGAATCCAGGGATGCTTTGCCACTGAGCCACATTCTTCAGCTCTTTTTATTTTTTTTTATTTTGAAACAGGATCTCACTAAATTGCTGAGGCTGGCTTCAATCTTGCGATCCTCCTGCCTCAGCCCCTTAAATCATTGGGATTACAGGCCTGCACTATCACACCCAGCAGTTCCACATGATTTAAGATAAGGTTGGGTATGAAAGTCATTAAACAGTAGTTTGGGCCCAGGTGCAGTGGTGAACATCTGAAATCCCAGAGGATCAGGAGGCTGAGTCAGGAGGATCACAAGTTTGGGGCCAACCTCAGCAACTTAGAGAGGCCCTAAGCAACTCAGCAAGACCCTGTCCCCAAATGAAACTAAAAAGGGCTGGGGATGTAGCTCAGTAGTAAAGCGCCCCTGGTTTCAATCCTTGGTACCAAAACTAACTAACTAACTAAATAAATAAGGAAGTAAATGAAAATAACTAGGGATGTGGCAGAGTGGTTAAGCACTCTAGGTTTAATCCCTGGCACCAAAAAAAAAAAAAAAAAAAAAACATGGGGGYTGGAGWTGTGGCTCAGCGGTAGCGCGCTCGCCTGGCATGCGTGCGGCCCGGGTTCGATCCCCAGCACCACATACCAACAAAGATGTTGTGTCTGCCGAAAACTAAGAAATAAAATGTTAAAATTCTCTCTCTCTCACTCTCTCTTTAAAAAAAAAAAAAAAAAAAGGTGTCACCAGAGATGTACTCTCTCTAGAGGTCCTAGGGGACAATCTGTTTTTTGCCTCTTGCAGTTTCTGGTAGCTGCTAGCATTCCTTGGCTTGTGGCCACATAACCATAATCTGCCTTGATGGTCACATTGCTTTATTTTCTGTCAGTAAAATCTGCTTCTTCCTACCTTCTATAGAACACTTGTGGGGCTGGGGATATGGCTCAAGCGGTAATGCGCTCGCCTGGCATGTGTGGGGCACTAGGTTCTATCCTCAGCACCACATAAAAATAAAATAAAGATGTTGTGTCCACCAAAAACTAAAAAATAATTTTAAAAAAGAACACTTGTGATTGCAATTAGAATTTATACCCATTTTGATATCCTTAATTTAGAAGCTGAGCATGGTGGTACATGCTTGCAGTTCCAGCTACTCAGGAGGCTCACGCAGGAGGATTGCTTGAGTCAGAGGCCAGCCTGGGGAAAATAGTGAGAACCTGTCAAAAAAAAAGAAAAAAAAAAACAAGCAAAAAAATGCACTTGTGCACTATGGTGCACACCTATAATCCCAGCCACTCAGGAGGTTGAGGCAGGAGGCTCACAAGTTCAAGACCAGCCTAGGAAATATAGCAAAACCTTGTCTCAAAACAAAATAAAATAAAACATCTGTGCTGATGTGGTGGCACTTACCTATAATCCCAGTGACTCAGGAGGCTGAAGCAGGAGAATTACAAGTTCAAAGCCAGCCTCAGCAACTTAGCAAGGCCCTAAGCAATTTAACAAGACCCTGTCTCAAAATAAAACATATACAGGGCCCCAGGTTCAATGTGCGGTACCAAAAAAAAAAAAAAAAAAAAAAGGCTGGGGATATAGCTCAATGATAGAGTGCTTAGAGTGCTTGGCAGGCATGTGTGAGGCCCTAAGTTCCATTCCCAGCACTAAAAAAAAAAAAAAAAAAATCCTTATCTTAATCATATCTACAAAGTCCTTTTCCATTTAAGTAACATTCAGAGGTTCCAGGGATTAGGATGTGGATATCTTTGGAAGGGACATTATTTAGTCTACCACACCATTCTATGGCAATTAACAGCTCTGCTCTTTAACTACCTTGCAACTCTGTCCCTAAACACCCACTATCTTCTGATAGACCCCTAAACCATCCTTTTCCCCCAAAGAAAACAAGATAGCATCTCAAATCATCTTCTTTTTTTTTTTAAGAGAGAGAGAGAGAGAGAGAGAGAGAGAGAGAGAGAGAGAGAAAGAATTTTTTAATATTTATTTTTTAGTTCTCGGCGGACACAACATCTTTGTTGTATGTGGTGCTGAGGATCCAACCCCGGGCCGCACGCATGCCAGGCGAGCGTGCTACCGCTTGAGCCACATCCCCAGCCCCTCAAATCATCTTCTAACCTCATAATTGTATTAATGATCCACCCTCCACTAACTCCTACTAACATACTCAAATTGTCTCCTAACCGCCCCATTCCTCCAAAGTCCTTCAATTGCAACTTAGTGAGACATTGAATTTAAAAAACAATAAAAAGGGCTGGGGATGTAGCTCAGTGATAAAGCACCTCTGGGTTTAATAAAATGGGCTGGGGATGTAGCTCAGGGATAAAGCACCTCTGGGTTCAATCACTAGTAGCCACCCCCCCCCAAATAATAAAAAGGGTTAGTTGGGGTTGTAGCTCAGTAGTACAGTGCTTGCCTAGCAGGTGTGAGGCACTGGGTTCGATTCTCAGTGCCACATATAAATAAATAAATAAATAAATAAATAAATATAAAGGTCCACTGACAACTGAAAACTATAGGTTAGGGATGTAACTCAGTGTTCGCCTATCATGTGCAAGACCTTCGGTTCTAACCCTGATACTGCAAAAAGAAGAAGAAGAGGAGGAGGAGGAGGAGGGGAGGAGGAGAAGGAGGAAGAGGAGGAAAAGGAGAGGGGGGAGGGGAGTGGATGGGGAAGAAATACCATTTACTAATTCCTATCAGGACCCAAGTCACCATTTTCGTTGTCATTTTCTGGTACTGAGGATTGAACTCAGGGGTTCTCTACACCTGAGCAACATCCCCAGTGCTAGCTGTTTGTTTGTTTGTTTGTTTGTTTATTTATGGTACTCATAATTGAACCAAGGGTGCTTCACCACTAGTGACATACACAGCCCTATTTATTTTTTTTAAATTTTGAGACAGGGATCTCACTAAATTGCTTAGGGCCTTGCTGAATTGCAGAGGCAGGCCTCTAACTTGTGATCCTCCTGCCTCAGCCTCCCAAGTCACTAGGATTACAGGCATGCATCATAGTGTCGGGATCCCAGCCACGTTTTAATGACTAGGGCTTTGTAATTTACTTGCGTGTGTGCGAGCGCGCGCGCGCGCACACACACACACACACACATATATATATGGGTGGTACGGGGATTGAACCCAGTGGCACTTACCCACTGAACCACATCCCCCAGCCCTTTTTATGTACCCTATTTAGAGACAGGGTTTCACTGAGTTGCTTAGGGTCTCCCTAAATTGCTGAACTGTGATCATCCTGCCTCAGCCTCTTGAGCCACTATGATTAGGGCATGTGCTATTCTGCCAGCTGTAATATTTTTTAATTTTTTTTAGTTTGTAGGTGTACAGATTATCTTTATTTTATTTATTTATTTTTATGTGGTGCTGAGGATCAAACCCAGTGCCTCATGAATGCGAGGCAAGTGCTCTACCACTGAGCTACAACCCCAGCCCCCAGCTGTAATATTTTAATCTGTTTAGATGATGCCCTCCTCTTTTTTCTTCTATCATAAAATTATCCATTCTTGCATATTTAGGGCACCATAAAAATCTTTTGGGTTTTTTTTGTGAGGTCTATGTTTTCAGAGCTGGGCTTAGAGTTGGGGTGAGCCACACTCCCAGCCCAATTTTGATTTTTTTCTGAGGTCCTAAAGATTGAACCCAGGGCATTTTACATGCTAAGCAAGAACTCTCCAACTGAGAGTCTGAGGCAGGAAAAATGAAGTTTGAGGCCAGCCTGGGACACTTAGCAAGATCCTGTTTCAAAATATAGTTTTTTTTCTTTTTCATTTTTCTTTTATTTTTTAACTGACGATTGAACCCAGAGGCAATTTTACCACTGAAGTACATCCCCAGATCTTTTTATTTCTTATTTTCAGGCTGGGTCTTTCTACGTGCTGAGGGTCTTGTTAGACTGCCCAGGCTGGCTTTGGACTTGTGATGCTCCTGCCTCAGCTTCCAGAGCCACAGGCGTGCACCACCGCGCCTGGCTCAGACAGGTATTTTGATTCCATTTGACAGGTCTGGAAAGCGAAGGCTCCGAGAAGGGAAGTCCCCTACCATATTCAAACCTGGCTCCCTATGATTCTACAAGTCATTGGTCCATCCATCAAGGATTCATTAAGCATCTATTCTGTAGAACAACGACCATAGTACAATAACTACTTTAGATAACAGAGAACATGACAGATGAGGGACTGGACTGTGGGTACTGAAAGGGCAGGGTTTCTGGCCAACACCTCCAGGAAGTGTAGCTGCTTCTGCCTCGTAGTTATTATGGCTTTGGCTGAGAAGGCACGGTGAAATTGAGGTTGTAGCGCGGTATAGGACGCAGATATTGCAAACGTGAACCGGGAGAGGGCGCGGTTCCTGAAGCTAAATGCTTGGCCTGGAGACCCTCGGCTAGCCGGCTGGCCATTGGTGCGCAGACGCAGAAAAGCCGAGGAGCGGCTTAATATTATCTTGCGGAGGGATAATTTGAGAAGGGGAGGCGTGGCTCAGACACCGATGCAAACATGGAGGCGTGACTCAACCAAATCACCCCTCGCCTATTTGCCTCCGTCACTGAGGGCGTGGTCTAGGTGCCCCCTCCCTGAATGAGGGCGGGTCGAATTCAATGTTCAGTCCGCCTCAAAGGCGTGTCTTAGGGCGGGTCCCTGGAGTCTCACCTCAACGATTGGATGCTTCACTAAGGGGTGTGGCTATATGAGCTGTCCATCCCCAGTGTGGTCACTTCCTGTGGAGTTTCCCCAGTTCAGGGAGGAGGGGGAAGAGGACGAGGGGGAGGAGGGCGGTCGTCCGGGGTTAGGTGTGGGGGGGGTGTCGGTCCGTTCAGGGCGGGGGATGACTCACGGCCCATCCCATCTCTCCGTCGCCGCCCGCCCGCGCAGAGCTAGCTCCATGGCTTAGCGGAGGAGGAGGCGGTGGCGAGGTGGGGGGACTCTTATTTTGTTAGGGGGACCGGGCCGAGGCCCGACCGGCCTGGCAGGGCTTGCCCGGGGCCGGGGGTCATGTCTCATGCTGCCGAGCCAGCTCGGGGAGGCATAGAGGCCAACAAGGAGGGCCCTCGAGCCGTGTTCGTGCTGTTGGAGGAGCGCAGGCCGGCCGATTCCGCCCAGCTGCTCAGGTGCGGGGCTGCCTGGGGCCGGGAGTGCTAACTGGGGTGTCCGGGGGGGGGGGCTCATCTGAGAGCATTGGGACCCCTGACTGGGATTGTAGGCCCTTGGCCTAGGCTTGGAGGACGTTGGGGCGCCGATCTTGGGGGGGCACCTAAGGAATCCTGTGGTGGCCTGCTTGGACTGAGGCTTAAAGGAGTCGTGAGAGTGCATTAAGGGGGGCAGGGTCAGATTTGGGGGGCCCTTGACTGGGTCTAGAATGGCAGATTCTGTAGTATCCAGAAACTAGTCTGAGGTATCAGAACTTGGGGGACTAATTAGAGTCTGAATGTGGGGTCCTTGAGTTGGGCATGAAAGGAATTGTCAGGTACACTGATTGAGGATATACTGATTTTAAGGAAATCCTGGAGCCTTTCTCTCTGTGGAAGAAAGATCATGGGGTGCAGAGGTGCTGTTTTGGGACCTTAGTGACTCCCAGTGATTGGTTGATGTGTTTGGGAATAACTTGAATCTGGAGAGACTGGGGGGTATTTCAGTTATACGGTGTGATACCAATCTTGTGTGTGTATGTGAGTGAGCAAGAGAAGTAACATTCACCAAGACTTGTCCAGAATAATCCTGTTACCCTTGCCCACCCAGTCAGATCCCACACCCTGCAGAGGCTTGAATGGGAGATCACCCGGTAGAGTAGGAAGCTCCCGGCAGGCCTCAGACCTTATTTGGGAACCCAGAGGAGGGTCTTGTTCCTGCTGCCACTCACGCCTTTCAACCAGCCCTGCCCACTCACTACCCACACACTCCCTCTTCTTTTCATCTGGCCCTCCCAGTCTGTCTCGGGCTGTGTGGGGGGGGTAATCTTGAATCTGTCCCTAGAGCTGGAGTGAGTACTGATTGCACCATCCCGGCATGGGTAGGTTCTCTTCTCTGGCTTTTTCTCATTCCCACTCTCATCAACCCTTTTTGGAGCTCCGTCTCTCCCTGCCCACCCCAGCACCCCATCTCTTTCAACTTCTGTGCAATGGGTGTGTGAGCATGGGAGGGGGCTTTGCCTCCTTTCTGCCTGGGATTGTGCTGACCTCAGCGGCTCCCCTAGCTTCCTCTTCCCTACTTCCTGGGTGGTTTTAGGGCCCCATCTGAAAGTGAGGAGTGGAAGGAAGACAGATCCTTGGGGAGGGGAGAGGATTCTTATCAAGTGAAGTCACCCTCAGTCTCAGGATTTTAAATCTTTGACTAAATTCAAGGATGCATATTCATCCACATGTGTGTAAGTGTTTCCTGGGCACTAGCGTTCTTGTACCCAGCATGGAGGGCTGAGCAGGAACCTTTCTGGGTTTACCATTTTCTAATTCCTTATAGTAACCTGGATCATCACAGTAGTGGGCACAGTTTGAAGGGAGGGGTGTGCATAGCTTCTTGTTTTGTGTGCCAGTGGATCTTGATACTGGAGATGTGTGTGTGTGTGTGTGTGTGTGTGTGTGTGTGTGTGTGTTGATCTATCCCCCCCAAAACAGGAGAGAACTGGGTAGGTTCCTCCAGCTAAGAAATGAATGCTCATATAAAGCAGATCATCCACCCAAATTCTCTCTCTTGTAAATCCAAACTGTTGGAGTGAGGGAGCCTTTCGTGTTTCCACTTTTATATTTGGGTGTGTATTAATGTCTCGTAAACTCTGGCTGGGGCTGGGGAAAACTCACTTGCAAAAGGGTAGCTCTTAGATAAAGTAAATGGTCTCCAATTGTCTTTGTGATGCATGCAGTTAGTGTTACATTGGACAGTTATGCTGAGGGATGCCCCTAGGTGTGTGTGTGTTTGTGTAGATTCAAACATAGGCTAACATTCAACTGTCAGAACAGTAGGGGATGGGGGTGTGTCTGGGAGAATTCTGAATTTAAAGTCAGGAATGCTTCGAAGTGAATTGTAATTCCTAAATTCTGTTTTTCTCAAACTCTGGTTGCTGCTACATGTGATTGTTAGAGTGAAGGGGTTGGGATTCAGGCATTCATTATTCTGGCTCTTAAGGGACCATGGATACCTCAGAAATAAAGAGTTAGGAGAGGAAAGGGGATGGGGAACAGATGAAGGGATTCTCGGTGGAGGTAACCCAGCAAGGTGGCCAAGTATGCTTGAGGGCTCCCTCCTTCTTTGTCTCAGAAAAAAGGAAAGGAATGAGTTTTCCCTACAATCACTGACCACCCCCCTCCCTCCTTCCCACCCTCAGCCTGAACTCTTTGCTTCCGGAATCTGGGATTGTTGCTGACATTGAATTAGAAAACATCCTTGATCCTGACAGCTTCTACRAGCTCAAAAGCCAACCCCTACCCCTACGCTCCAGGTATGACTGGCCTACCTGATACCCCCCACCCCAGTTCCTCAGCCTCCCCTCCCTACAGGGCAGAGTCCCTCAGTGCTAGCCCAACCCATTCTCTCAGCAGCCTGTATTTTCTAGATAGTAAAATCAGGGCGCTAAAAGAGCATGTCACACAGGGAAACAGGTGGGCAAACTATGTTATCTCTGATCAGAACTCCCCTGCCTCCCTTAACTATACCTACACACCCGTTGATACACAAATATTCTTGCAGGCCTGGAGCACCCAGTGGAAGGGAATGTCCTGCGTAAATTCCCGCCCTAGGTGGGCGGAGTCATGACCATAGCCCCGCCCACACTTTACAAGCCCACCCACCCTAATCTCTGGAGGAACCCCTACTACTCTCTTCTTTCCCCTAGCCTGGTAGTCTAAATGTGCTGAGTCATCGGCCTGAGCTCTAAGAGAGGGGAGGGGACCTGGAAGAGGGGCAGGAAGAGAGGATTGTGAAATCTCTGAGATTTTCAAGACTGACTAGCTCCTGGGACCAGAGGCCCTAACAGGGAAGGAAGGGGGTGCCCGAGACTGCCCTTTTATCCTGATGCCCATGTCCAGGAGCTCCAAGAGCATCTGCAGCCCCAAATTGGATTTAGGAGTCCTTTGCATACCTTGTCCATTGCTGCAATCTGAATTCTGCTTCCACTCGACCTTTAAATACGCCCCTCCTGCAGAGCCCAGCAATGGCATCTCCATGTAGAATATGAACTGGCTCAAACCTAGGCTTCACTATTAGGAGTGAGGGCTAAAATTCCCCCACTAGTCTGAATTCTGAATGCTGACACGGAGTCTGGTTCCACTATGACCCCTGAGGGCTGCAAACAGGCCTGGTTCCTTTGTTTTGCCCTCCACATTGTAGCCTCCAAAGGCAGAGAATCTGCCTGGCTCCTGTGTCTGTCTATTCCAGCACACTATGACCCTTAGACATGGGAAGAGACTTTTAGCTTACGTATGGCCCCATATTTCCCATTCCACAGCCTCCCAATATCACTGCAGGCCACACCAACCACCCCAGCTACACTCTCTACATCGTCTTCTGCAGGGGGCTCCAGGACCCCTGCCATGTCGTCATCTTCTTCATCCCGGGTCTTGCTGCGGCAACAACTCATGCGGGCCCAGGCACAGGAGCAGGAGAGGCGTGAGCGTCGCGAACAGGCTGCAGCTGCTTCCTTCCCCAGTCCTGCACCTGCCTCTCCTGCCATCTCTGTGGTTGGTGTCTCT